CATGTAGTTGACCGTGGTTTGAGTCCTGGACCCGGTGGCTTAAACTCACACTGGGCGTGTGTGCATGCCCAAGATCCCAAGAGGAGAATGGAGGAAAAGGGATTGCGGTGTGGTCATCCCCCCGGCGGGTGACCTCTCACTTTCTGTCTGTCTCTCTCTCTCTGTATGGCGAGTGCACGTGCCCTACAGCAAAAACCTCTCCAAAAATAAATAAGTAAATAAATAAATAAAAATGCATTTACACAGTTGATGGCCATTTAGATCGTTTCCACTTTTTGACTAATACGAATCATACAGCTATGAACATGCAGCTACAAGCCTTTGAATGAACACGTTTCATTATGGAGAGAATACTGAGTGGAATTGCTGGATCATATGGTAGACTTAAGTATAACATTTAAAAAACTGCCTTTTCTTCCCCACAGAGTGTGTGCACTTGCTGGAGACGCAGAGAGGGAAACTGAGAAATCACTCCCAGGGGTGAAGCCACACCACAATTCCTTCTCCTCCATTCTCCTCTTGGGACTTCAGGCAAGCATGCACACATGCCCAGAGTGATTTTTCTTTTCTTTTTTTTTTTTTTAGAGAGAGATTTTTGCTACGGGGCGTGTGTGCTCACCAGATACAGCAACGGAGAGACAGAAAGCGAGCAATCGCCCCTGAGGGAGTATGGCCATGCCACTATTTCTCCCAGGACCTTGGGCATGCACGCACACATGCCTGGTGTGTTTCAAGTCACTGGGCCTGGGCGTCCAATTATGTAACCACTATGTCATCTGCTACCCCCACCCCTGGCAGTGATTTTCAAGCTGCTAGTATGGAACTCAAACCTTGGTCACTCAAGTGGGAGTCTGGCACCTTAACCACCATGCCACCTGCTGGCCGCCCAAAACTGCCTATTTTTAAACTGCACTATTTAAATTCCTTCCAGCAATGTATTAGGGCTCCAGTTTCTCCATGTCCTCACTAATATTCACCTTTTGTCTTTTTTATTAGTCATTCTAGAAGGTGTGAAGTGGTATCTAATATTTAAAAAACATTACTGTTAGAGAATGTGCACATGAAGGGAGCGAGGAAGAGAGAGGGAGGGGGTGGGGAGAGAGAGTCCCGGAGTGCTCGAGCCCTCTCCCCATGAGGCTGTCATACTGCTTTTGTTTTTGTTTTTGTTTTAAAGAATTGTATTTATTTTTTTAAAAGAGATTTTTTTGCTATAGGGAGCCTGTGTTTACTGGACAGAGACAGAGAGACAGAAAGCGAGAAATCACCCCCCAGGAAGGATGACCATGCCGCAGTCCCTTCTCTTCCATTCTCAGGATCTTGGGCACGCACGCATACGTACTCAGTGTGTCTGAAGCTGCTGTGTCTAGGACTCAAACTGTGATCAACTCTGTGGGAGTCCAGGGACGTAACCATTGTGTCACCTGCTTGCCCCTATTTATTTTTAAATTTGACCAGGGAGAGAGAGATGGGGAAAGGAAGTCTTCAGGTTTGGGACACGAAACATGGTCAGCCATATGGGAGTCCAGTGTCTCAACTACCATGCCACCTGACATCCTTCAGGATCTGTGAGTCTGGTGTGGAGCTGACAGGGTTGGGATTCAAATCCTAAACGGCCCTGTGGGATTTGGCTTCCTCTGCACAGCACCTGATTGGTGCATCGTAGGGCTAGCCCCCCCCCCCCCCTCTTTTTTTTTTTATTTTCTACAAGGTGCACATTCTCATGAGAGAGACAGGGGTGGGGTGGGGGGGGTAAAGTGAGAAACCACCCCCCCAGGGGATAGAGCCATGCCACAATCCCCTCTTCTCCAAGAATGCTGGGCATACATGCAGGCTGCCAGGTCCAGGACTCGAACCAGTTTGCCATGTTTGAGTCCAGTGCCCCAACCACTATGCTTCCTGCTGGCCCCTCTAAATTTTGGTTTTAAGTTACATTTTCCTAGAGAGTAATGATCTTTTCACATACTAAACCATTTGTATCTCTTTGCTGAAATGTCTATTCAAACCGCTTAGCCATTTTAAAGATATGTGCCTTATTTTTGAATTTTAAGAATCTTTTCATATCCTGGATACAAGTACCTTATCAGATAAATGAAAATAAATTCTAGTCTGTGGTTTGTCAATTTTAATGGTGTTTCTGGAAGTGTAAAAGTTTTTTTTTTTTTGGAGAGGTTTTTGTTATAGGTGCATGCGCTTGCCAGAAAGACAGAGAGCGACAGAGAGATAGAAAGTGAGAAGTCATGCCCCAGGGGGGATGGCCACGCTGCAATCCCTTCTCCTCCATTCTCCTCTCGGGATCTTGGGCATGCACACACATGCGCCCGGCTTTAGTTTAAGCCACTGGGTCCAGGACTTGAACCACGGTCAACTACATGGGAGTCCAGCGACACAACCATTACATTAACTGCTGGTCCCACAGTGTAAAAGTTTTCTGTTTCAAGTCTAATTCATTAATATTTCCTGGGCTGTGCTTTTGGTGTCTTAACTCTTTTCCAAAGCCAAGGTCATCTAGGTTTTTTTCTAAAAGTTTTAGCTCCTATATTTAGGTGATACTTTTTGAATACTTTTATGCATATTGTAAAGGTAATGGCCTAAATGAATCTTCTAAAATTTGATATCCAAATGTCACCATTTGTTGAAAAGATTGCTTTTAAAAAAAAAATTTTTTTTTGAGAGGTTTTCACTATAGGGCGCATGCGTTCGCCAGACAGACAGAGACAGAGAGACAGAAGGCGATAAATCACCCCCTGGGGGGATGGTCACGCCGCAATCCCTTCTCCTCCATTCTCCTCTCGGGATCTTGGGCACGCACGCACACGCGCCAGGCGTGAGTTTTAAGCCACTGGGTCCGGGATGTGAACCGTGGTCGACTACGTGGGAGTCCAGCGACATAGCCATTATACTAACTGCTGTTCCCCCCCCCCCAAATTTTTTTCTTTTTAATTTTAATTTGACCAGGGAGGGATAGAGTGAGAGAGACAGAAGGTAAGAATGCAAACTGCCAGATCTGGGACTTGAACCGTGGTCAGTCATGTGGCAGTACCAGCGCCCTTAACCACCACACCACCTGCCGGACCTGAAAAGACTGCTCTCTTTATTGAACTGCCTCAGTGCTTCGGTGGTAAAAAATCAATGGGCCATAAATGTGGGGGTTTATCCTGGATTCTCGTTTCTGTTCCACTGCTCTGTTTCATGCTCTCTGCTTTTGTACACTGTCTTGATTACTGTAGCTGTGTAATTAAGTTTGGAAAATCAGGACATGTTCATTCTCAAAATAGCTTTTTGTCTATTCTTGACCCTTTCCATTTTCATATAAATTTTAGGATCAGATTCTTGATTTTTCAAAAAAGCTATGAAAAGCATTGTATTGAAAAACCAGCAGATTAGTTTGGGAAGAACAATCTTAATATTGGATCTTCTAATGAAATATCTTATCTATTTATCCCTTCCTCAATTTCTCTATTTTATGGTTTTCATGACACAAGTCTTATATTTCTTTTGTTAAAATACTTCCTAAGGGGCCAATTGGTGCTGCAGTGGTTGGCGCAGCTGGATTCCACATAGCCGACTGCATGGTCTGAGTCCTGGACCTGGTAGCTTGGGGAACACACTGGAAGCACATGTGCATATGGAGGAGCAGGTATTGTGGCATGTTCATCTCCCTTGGGGTGGTGGGGGGTGCTTTCTCACTTTTTGTGTCTCTGGTGAGTATATATGCCCTATAGTAAAGTAAAAAAATTTTTTTTCTAAATATTTCTTTTTGGTGCTAAGGTGAATGAATTTTTTTCCTTACAAATTTAGATTACTTGGTCACAGCTAATTACTGGGAGCACTAAGAGAATTCACAACCCAACCTCCTTCCCCATTGAGCTCCACATTCTACCAAGCTGCTCTGACCCCTTTCCGTGGTTGGGTAAAGCCGAACATGAATAGCTCCACTATCTCAGAGTATAGATCTAACTTTACCTTTTCTTTCTGAACTATGTTGGTTTGAGAGTACAAGAAAGTGCCCGCCCCCTCCAAAGGGGCCTGGTCATGCTGCAGTCCTTTCCCTCCAACTCTCCATCCCCCCAGGTTCCTAGGCACAGTGCCTGCCTGACATGTAAGCCAGCAAGACTGGGAACTGACTCCCGTGTGGCCATGTGGTATAATGCTCAACTGCCGCTGCACTATGGGGCTGTCCTAAGAGGCATTTTTTTTTTAATTTTTAAAATTTTTTAGATTTATTTATTATTTTAAAGTTTGCTATGAGAGAGAGAGAGAAAGCCACCAGGTCCAGGACTTGAACTGCAGTTGAGAGTCTGGCGGCTTAACCACTAAGCCACCTGCTGGCCCCAAGAGGTAAGAATTTCTGACAGGATCTTGCCATGCCAGTCCACCTGCTCTAGCTTCCCAGCTAGTTAAGATTACGAGCGTGTGCCATCACATTCACCTGCTTTAGGTTGGTCTGGGAACTGAACTCCTGCTGACTCCAGCTTTGTATGGTGGCACCCTCCTGTCTGAGCCACCACTGTTAGGCTCATTTTTCAAGCTCTCCAAACTGTCTGAAGCAAGTGTTCTTGAGGTCTGGCTAACTTGCCTGCTTGAAATTCTAGAGATTGCCTCTTGAAAACAAATGACAGACTATATTTTTAAAAATTCCCTGGAGCCCAGAAAGTTTGGGGAGGTTAGTCATGTTACTTTCAGTCATTTTGCAGTACAGTCAGCTTCTTTAAAAGAGTGAATAGGGTCTGGCAGGTGGCATGATAGTTAAAGCACTGGACTCACACATGGCTGACCACGGTTTGAGTCTTGGGCTGGTGGCCTGGCTCCAAATCACTCCGGGCACATGTGTATGCATGCCCAAAATCCTGAAAGGAGAATGGAGATGGGATTGTGGCATAGCCATCCCTTTGGGGGGGTGATTTCTCATTTTTCCTCTTCACTGTCTCTGGCTTTCTGGTGAGCACATGTGCCCCATGGCAAAAACCTTAAAAAAAAAAAAAAAAAAGCCTTCTGAAGAGTTTCATTTTAGATTGCATTTATTGAATATTGCCATTATTTAGAATCAACAGTACAGACTGAGACATCCATTTGTTGTCAATTGATATGGGAAAAATTAGAGATCATTATTTTCTTGACTATTTATTCAAGTTTCAATTTAAGACTTCAACATTCATTTTCAAATATTTGCCTTGTATCTACGGATGCAAGGACTTGGTTATCCTTGTTGGAATAATGGTTGTGCTCTGGGAAAGTCATCCTCTACATTAGGGACTTGTGTGTTGCAGGGGAGGGTGTGGAGGTTGAAATCTAAGAAGATAAAGTCTGTCTTCCAACAAAAGTTAGTTATCAGTCATCACCAGACCATCATTTAGCTAGAATTCCAGAAAGGGTGAAGAGAAGTTCATTTTTTCTGTCTTTATGGATTATATCTGCAAAGAAAAAAAGGACAGTTTGCATAAAACACCTGAAGTATTTTATTGGCTACAGTAGACACTGTATTGTCTTTCAATATACATTATTTTCCCATGAGGTGGCAACAATGATTTGGTGGAACAGACCCAGTTTCATATTCAACTTGCGGGGTGGAATTGGGCTGGCTAGGCCAACATTAAAATCCTTTCTTCTTTCCTTTGACAGAATGACAAGATTCACAGCATTCCCATGGCCACGTGGATTGATTCAGGACTGTCCTCAGTGTGAAGTTCAAGACTCTGGTCAGGACAGTGTGGTATGCTATATATAAAACAGGAAACTACTGAGCAACATGGCTACTTGTGGTAGACAGTCTCTACAATGGACCTGCCTGCTGGTATTGGTGCCCGCTGTAAGTTTTAAGCTACTGGGTCTGGTACTTGAACTACAGTCGACTACGTGGGAGTCCAGCGACGTAACCCTTAGAGCACCTACTGGTCCCCCTCAATAAAATAATTCCTTTTTTTTGAGAAGTTTTTGCTACAGGGCATGTACGCTCGGCAGAAAGAGACAGAGGGACAGAAAGTGAGAAATCAGCCCCCCCCGGGAGGGGATGGCCACGCCACAATCCCTTCTCCTTTCTCCTCTCAGGATCCTGGGCATGCATGCACATGGCGTGAGCCTAAGCCACTGGGTCTGGGACTCAAACTGCGGTAGACTACATGGAAGTCCAGCAACATAGCCATTATGACATCTGATGGTCCCAATAAAATAATTCTTAAAACCTTTAGATTTGGATATTTTGTTTACAAAAATCATGTAAGTAGAAAAAAGTCTATCCACCCACTCACCGCTACCTCCATTTTTCATATGGAACCTTAAAGCTTCATTTATTCATAATCCCTTGTCATATTAAAGTTTGGGTGGAAGTTTATCTTAAGCAAATGAAAAATGTAAATAAGCAATGATTACAGGGGAACTGTTAAGTCCGCTACATCTACTGTTGAAAGGCCTTAAACCACTTTAACACTACCTATCTACATACATTTAAACTACGCTAAGTAAAGTTATTAATTGGTGTGCATTCATTAAAGTAGATCTAGACGGACTTCTGGTTAGGTACTATTTGCCCTCTGTCTGAAAAACCTTTCAACCAATGAATATAGGGTGTCATAAACTGAGTCTGATTAAGTTCTCTTGACCTAAAACTCAGTACAACAAAATTCTTTATGGGCCTTTGAATGCTATTCTTACCGTATACAGGCCAACCTGAGCTTAATCCCTAAGTAAAAGCCTTTGCTTTACAGGGGTCTCAGGTTGGGAGGCAGTTACAGCGCTAATTCCTTATGTATTCTATTTTCTAGCAGATTTAATAAAGGAATGCTGTTTTCTTACCTGCCCAAATACCTCTCTCAAATATTCTTGCTGTAAATTTAAAGATTTACTTGAAGATTGTTTTAGAAAAATTCAAATAATAAAAATATAAAACAATACATATCAAGTGTGCTTCTGGGAAGGACAATGGAACGGAGGTGAAAAAGGAATTTTCCTTTTTTCTTATATATGTATTTCTGTATTACTTAATTTTTATTGCTATTATAATTAAGTTTACAAAAAATATTCCTTGAGATAATCTCATTTGTGGTTTAGGATGAATTCCTTCTATCATACCATTAAATCAATACCTATCTGAGTACTTGGGAGTATGTGAAATGAGAAAGGAGGGAGGGAGATTTACGATCAAGGCAGAACAAGGGAAGGGGGCACTCTGATAGGCAGTTCTGAAAGAGACAAAGAGGTGAGGGGAAGTAAGATGAGAATGTTCACAATGGATCCCTGGGTAGCTGGGCTGAAGTAAACTGCAACTTCCTGGGGAGAAATTTATCAGATGGGACATGTGGGAAGGCCTAGGCCTGAGTATCAAACTGACAGGGGGTAGTTTCCTGGATTGTAAGAAACAGATCTGCTGTGGCTGACAAAGGAGGAATGGCAACAAGGATAGGGCATTCCTTGGCCAATTGAAGGCACCTCCAGTCTGTATGTGGTTTTTAAAAATTCTAACACAAAGAATCCACATAGGCAATGATAAGAAAAAAAAAAAAAGTAAAACACAACCCAACTCACCTCTCTGGTTAACAGCTAGTTCTAAAGATGATGGTTAAACTTTCAAGGTCTTCATTCTTGAAATGTAATTCTTCAAGGAGGGTGGCTATAAACTGTGTAAACACCACATTTTCCTTAGAATGCTTCTGGATGCCAAGAATTGGGGTCAGTCTGAAACAACAAAAAATATTTAGTGTAAATCTGTGAAATGAGAAGCGCTAAAGAACTTTCTTCTTCTTCATGGCTGAGAGGATATTATAAGGCAAATTAGGTCTCTGATTTAGCAAAATTCCTGGAAAAAGGAAGCTTTACCAACAGAAGAGAAGTCTAAAAGCCTGATTCAAAAACATCATTTTCATATGCCAGCAAAAACTATTCTACTTTTTCTCAGAAAAGAAAATTAATGAACTCTCTACATTTGGGGAGACAAGGTTGTGAAGAGGGGCTTAGAGCTGAGAATTGCTTTGAAAATATTTTATATTGAATGCTTATCTTCTGAATGAACCCTTAACATTTTAATTTTTTAAACAATAAATGAACTACATCTCACAAGGCCCTTACTACCAACGTCGTAATGAACGGTATGCCTTCTTTTTCTCCATATCCAATAAATACCCCTAAGGACTGATGGCATACAATGGAATCTTAAAAATAATTTTCATCAGAATTACCAGTAAGCATGTTTTTAAAACATTTAGAGTAATATCTAATTTAGTCACAAAGATTAAAAACGATTACTTTTCATAAGTATTTTTATCTCTAGAGAGCAGGCTTACAAGAGACCTTGCAAATTATATTCCTAGAAAGCTTTTAGGGACAAAATTCTTTTTTCTACAAATAGTCTTACACTTTCCACAAAGCTCTTTAAATGCTTATTTAACCTTGATCACCACCACTGGGCATATCAAATATAAACAACTCTTGGATTTAAATCAATAAAGCTCAAGAAATCAGAGATCAGTTTTGCAGTAGTGAGTGTAGAATGGGAAATGTTTCCTGAGAGACTAATTTCTTCCCTGCTTAGTCACCTCATACAGAAAGCAGAAGTAAAAGGAGAAATGTGTTAGAATTGTCTAAAGATGGCCAGGACTTCCAGGGAAGGTGGTAATTCTCTCTCTAAAAGGACTCAGCAAGGACTAGAAATCACGTGAGTCCAGTCCAGTGAAATCCAGAGTCCTCCCTGGGGAAACCAATGGTAGTTCCTGCTCCATCTCTCCTATAATGCTTCACAGCTGGGGAGTGGAGTACCAGTTTCTCACACTTAATGACTCTGCCTCCAGGTACTCCCCAAAGTTAGCTCCTACTGGGAAACACGACTATCCAAGGCTTCTAGTGCCGAGTCCAAGCTGTACTCAGGTGCACCTAGATGGTGTAGACAGCTTTCCCTGAGGCACCTTCCTACAGAGAAGCTGGAACCCAGAAATCAACTCTACCCTTTCCTAAGCTTAGGTGATAGCAACATTTACAAATGTAAGCTGCTGCTTCTCCACAACAGGACCAAAAATACTGGGAATAACACTGACTGAAACAGAAGTCCAGAGAAGGCAAACCACATGTCAACTCAATAGAAACCCAGCTTCTGTGTGTATTTAAATGGTACTCATATGATACAATCAAAATGCTTTCTCTGACTTTGAAGGAGACTAATATTTGGCTTGCATATGAAAATAAAGTTTTATCAATTACTGCTCAAAGTGCCATTAGTACTTAATCCAAATTTCCAAACTTAACTCTAAAATTAGAAATAAGTGATGACTATCAGATTTCTCAAACTATGTGCTCAGATAAAAACAAAAAATGTGAAGAATTATTACAGAGAAATGGCTACAAGGTGAATCCTTCTATCAACTACCCAATTAAAAATATTTTAGGAATAGTTAACACTTCTCTAGTTATTAGCACTGCATGGTTGGAATCCTGGACCTGGTGGCTTGAGATACACGCTGGGTATGTGTGCTTATGTGCCCCAAATCTTGAGAGAGCTGGAGAAGGGATTGTGGCACGATCATCTCCCCTGTGCTTTCTCACTTTCTGTCTCCCTCTGGCGAACATATGAACCCTATAAGCAAATTTTTAAAGAGAACAGTGTTAATAAACTTTAGGTAGGGGGGGACCAGCAGATGGCGTAATGGTTATGTCACTGGACTCCCATGTAGTCGACCATGGTTTGAGTCCCGGACCCAGTGACTTAAAACTCATGCTGGATGTGTATGCCTGTGTGCCCAAAATGCCAAGAGAAGGTGGTGGGACTGTGGCGTGGCCATCCCCCGGGGGGTGATTTCTCGCTATCTCTCTCTCTCTCTCTCTGTCTCTCCTATGAGTGCATGTGACCTATAGCAAAAGATATCTAAAAATAAAGGAAAAAAAATCATGTAATCCTACTTTGTAATCCTAAACTCATGGCAAATACTGCTCATGAATCAGGCATTCTTTTCTCGGGTGCACCTGGACCTGTTTTGAGAATTCCCATAACAGGACTCTGAGCAACCACTTCAACTGTGTAGAGCTGGCTCCTGAGCTGAGCCTTTTCTCTTCTTGGTCCACCCAAAAGCCCCAAGAGAGCTATGTATGAAGCAGTTCTAATTCTAGCCCTGCCAGAAATGTTTATGTAATCTGGAGAAAGTTGAACCTCAAAGCATTAGGATCTATCTGTATAATGGGGCTACTATCTAAGTACCTTAAAAGATTATAACCAAATTCAAATGGTATACTGTAGATGAATAGTATCAATTGTGATAATGATTATTAGTTACCATTTACTATATGGGTACATGCTTATTCCAACCATGAATTATCTCCTTTAACTATACAGTGAGGTTGAGGAATGTAGTTATCAGCCCCATTTTATAGACAAGGAAATAAAAGCATACAAAATTTAAGTATTTTCCCCAAGGTTACAAAGATAATTAAGTCAGGACTTTGAACTTAAGCAACTGATGTCAAAAAGCTCAAGCTTTCAGTTGCGGGGAGGTGGGGGCAGCAGGTGGCATGGTGATTAGGGCAGCCAATAGTACAGTTTGAGTCCTGGACCCAGCAGATTGAAAAGCATGCTGAGCATATGTACATGCATGCCCAATTCCAAGAGGAGACTGGAGGAGAAGGGAATGCAGCATAGCCATTCCCCCTGGGGGGATAATTTCTCAATTTCTCTCTCCCTGTCTCTCTCTGGCAAGTGCATGCACCCTACAGCAAAAGCTAAAATAGGGGCTAGCAGTGGTTATGTCGCTGGACTCCCACATGGCTGATTACAATTGAAGTCCCTGATTCAGTGGCTTGAAAATCTTGCTGGGCACATGTATTTGAGTGCCCATGATCCTGGGAGGAGAATGGAAGAGAAAAGATTGTGGTGTGGCCATTCCCATTGCTGTGTGATTTCTCACTTTCCCCCTCACTGTCTCTCTCTCTCTTTCCAGTGAGTACATGTGCCCTAGGTAAAAACCTCTTAAAAAAATAAAAAGCTCAAGCTCATATCCAATATGTTAGCTTTCATTCTTTGTAGGCTGTAGAACATTCTATAAGTTTAATCTTTACCTGCCTGATTTATATTTACTGAGCTCTCAATGAACATGGAGAAGGAATAGAATATTTTGCTTTAGAGAACTTGAAGATTGCAAATTTTAAAATGGCCTGGCAAGTAGTTGGCAGGCAGAAGGAAGTGCTAATAGAGAAATCTCACACGGTCTGGTGTTTGCTAGAGACAGGAATATCGCCTGGGGGCCTGGATATTTCTGCAGCAAGCTATCAAGTAGATAGAGAATAATCCTCAGGCATCTGGAGCCAGGATTTCCTGACTACTCTTAACAGTTGAGCCCTAAATGTTATCGCATAATTACTGTCCTAGAAAGTTAGCCAATGAGATTTCTCTGAACCTTATTTCATTATACATTCCTTTTAACTGAAAAAGCTTCTTCTCCACCATTTCAGCCCCTAATAAAGAATATAAATGATTACAGAAGAATATTATATTAACTTTCTGGGTCGGCCCCATAGCACAGGAGGTTAAGCCCTGTGAGCAGGGAGTCAGATCCCACATGGATAACCACAGTCTGAATCCCAGCACAGTACTTGGAAAACACATAGGGCACGCGTTGCATGCCCAAAATCCTGAGGGAGAATGGAGAAGGGATTGCAGCATGACCATCCCTCTGGGGGTATGGGAGGTGATTTCTCACTTTCCTTCTGTCTGCTTTTCTCTGTCTCTGGTGAGTGTACATCCCTTATGTCAAAAACAAACAAAAAAAAAAACAAAAAGAATAAGTTACTAGTTCTCGTGCACTTCTCAAGAATAAACAATCCAGTGGATTACTTCTGGAGAGTCACACAACAAAAATTTTGTTTTCTCTTTAGAATTACCCTCTCAGGACCAGCAGTTAGCTTAATGGCTATGTCACTGGACTCCCATGTGGTCGACCGTGGTTTGTGTCCCGGACCCGGTGGCTTAAACTCACGCCGGGCGCGCGTGTGTGCATGCCCAAGATCCCGAGAGGAGAATGGAGGAGTAGGGATTGCGGCGTGGCCATCCCCCCTGGGGGGTGATTTCTCGCTTTCTGTCTCTCTGTCTCTCTCTGTCTGTCCAGCGAGTGCATGCACCCTATAGAGGAAACCTCTCCAAAAAAAAAAGAAAAGAAAAAAAAATTATCCTCTCTAGAGGGGCCAGCGGATGGCATGATGGTTATGCTGGACTCCCATGAAGTCAACTGCAGTTCCAATCCTGAAGCCAGTGACTTGAAACTCATGCTGGGTGTGTGTGCATGAGTGCCCGAAATCCTGAGAGAAGACTGGAGGGGAAGAGACTGTAGTGTGGCCATCCCCCTCCCATCTCTCTGGCAAGCTCACGCACCTTATAGCAAAAATCTCTCTCTCTCAAAAAAAAAAAAATTAGCCTCTCTAGAAACCAGGTACAAAAAGTGAAAAATGGTGTTGACAAGTTATAAAGTCATAATTCATATTAGATCAAGAAAGATGTTGAACCTTGAACATGTGACTTAGATTACATTTAAAGTTGAATAGGACTTGGGTCGGTTGGTGCCACAGTGTTAAGGTGGCTAGATCCCACATAGCCAACTGCACTGTTTGAATCCTGGACCAGGCAGCTTGAAATACATGTCAGGCACATATGCGTATGCCCACAATCCTGAGAGAAATGGAGAGGAAAATATTGTGACACGGCC